GCGTATTTACAAAGACTCAAGGATACAGCCCACTTGGCGCGATATTAGGGATTGTCGCCAGATTTGTGGTAAACCCACACATCCTCTTTCGATTGTTGTAACCCCGTACAGAATGCGTTGTTGTGTTTACATTTCAATTTAAGGTTAAGGAATCGTGAAAATGTGTACAATATTTCAACAGCAGTTTATAAATTTTTTATCGTCTTTCGAAATGAAATCGACGAATTGTGATTAGCATAACAATACTTTAGTATCGAGCTGTAACAAAACGATTTGAGAGAATTATAATACTTCAGCTCAGAACGAATTTTTTTAATAAGATGAGATTAAAGTGTTTGATTGCTTGAAAAAAAAGCATAGATGTTTTAATTTTAAAAATCTGTATGGAGATATTTCTAATATAGCATTTTTGAGATCGCCACTGTGTTTCTACTGCTTACACTGTTGTAGTAAATTGAATATATATTATACAAATATTCAAACTGCTGATTAATGATAAACACTATTGTTATTTTTAAAAAATTGTTACCCTAATAGACGTTATTATAAGAAATTGGATATATGATATACTATCAGTACTTTTGAAAAAAAAATGGGTTTATGTTTTACATTCTTGAAAAGGGCATTTGTTTTGAATTATCATCTGTCATACCTAAGATTAATAAACTACTAAGGTTGAACCTGGTTAAATGTCACAAACTAAAATAGCGAGCGACTAAAAGTGTCAACAACGGAACTAACCCAAACGCAAAGGATTGCTCTATATGCCTTTTCCTTACAGCGCATGCGCAGCTTTCTTTTTCGCACCAAAAATGCTTAGATGCTCTTTATCGCGCCAAGTGGGCTGTATCCTTGAGTCTTTGTAAATACGCGGCCCGGCACCCCACATACCAGGCTATCCCGGTCTAATAGCGACAATTTATCAGAATTACTGTTGCACCGCACCTGTGGACCTGCTACAAGAAGTATTAGTTGATTATATAGTTGATTATGGCAGTAAATGGAAATCATTTGTCATAATTGGATGTTAATCTGGCAAACCATCGTTACATCAGTTAGATAATGGGTTTAGTGTTTACCAAGATCTTCTGTCTAGTGGTTCCATTATGGTGTTGTTCATCACCTGTAACGTATTGAATTTGAAAAATTAGTATCATGAGAAACAAACTTATCTAATTTGGCTTACTGCCTTAGAACAAGATTAGAATCTTATGTTAGCACTAATTGATTGAGTACCTTATGTTTTTTTTTAGTTATTTAACCTAATTGGGTCCATATTGTTTAGTTTGCTCTTTGAGATAATCACAGAGTGTTGCAGTTAGTATTTATCCGGATTAAGGATGATTGGGAGAAAAGTTGTGTGGCTAATTTGAGCAGACACCTAGATCTTGAATAGCCTACTGTTATAACTATCACATCAGATGTTAATTAGTAATTTTACATTGATTGACTAGCAGCGTTACATTTCAGACTCAAGGGATGGACATCGACAATAACAGTATAATATAAAATAGCTAGTCAGGTCACAGGTTTTTTATTTTTACATTTAACATAAATGGCCATCACGGGTAGCTGAAAAGCTCCAGACTCACTGCCTGTCCCCCAGGGACTTGGAGCAGGGTCAGTGGTGAGGCGTGTGTGGTGATCAACCACGTTGGCTGCTATTGTGAGCCAGTCCGTGGGTGATTGTGGGGTATGTATGTTTTTTTATGTTGTGTTGTGTGTTTTACCTATTTTTAGTATGAGTGGTAGTTGAGGCAGTGCTTTGGTGGAGTGTGAATTATAAAACTTACCAAAATCATAAATGGTGGTAACATATTAGAAATTAGTAATTAAGTTGGTTGACTCATCCCCCACCTTTTTTTTTAAAAAATTTACATGAATAGCCATCATGGGTAGCTGAAAAGCTCCTGGCACACTGCTTGCCCCCAGTGTCTAGGAGCAGGGTCAGTGGTGAGGAGTGTGTGGTGATGAACCATGTTGGCTGCCATTGTGAGCCAGTCCGTGGTTGATTGTGGGATATGCTTGTTTTGTTTGTGTTATGTTCTGAGACTATGTATCAGTGTTAGTCATAGAGATTTTGGGAGTTTGAGAGACATAGGGATATCAGTTAGGTTATATTTGGCCAATATTTTTACTGCTATGGACGCTAGTTGGTCTGCTGAAGACCCAGCTGTTTTTAAGCCCTTGTACCCTTTGTAAAATGATAATGATATAGATTAGTGTATTATTGTGTGTGCGTTTATCGACAGTTACTCTTGTTTGTGTGGATCGAACTTGAGGGCTTTTTTTAAGCCTCACGGCCAACGGCTTGTGTTGACCGACTGCCTGCCAAATGTTTGTTGGTCATGGGTGGGGCAAGAGTGTGTTTTTATGCTGCAGCAATGGTTTGCCTGGTGCCCTGACTCCTCATGATTGTATTTGCTGCCAGTATTTTTACAAAGTTATTATTAAGTTTATGACATATTGTCTGTGATGTTCCCGGTTATGGCAAGAATATTTATTAGTTTTTACATAATATGCTTGTTTTTGAAACTGTCTGCAAATATCGTTCTGCCTTATTCATTGGGTTTTTTGAGGTGGTACGATTCAGTTAGTGGGCAGTCATATAGGTATTGACTTGGGATACCTGTGTCATCGCATGGGCATGTGTCTGTGTTTATTCGCTGCATCCTGTGAAAGAATGAGGTGAAGAAGCCATGTCCTGTAAGCAATTGTATTGCTGCTCGATGGCCTATAAGTCGGTCTGTGTCTAATTTAGGGTAATATGATTTTGTTGTATAGCCTTTTTCATTTTCGTCCCAGTATGCTTGCCAAAGTTTTTGTGTGATGGTTTTACGTTTATTTCTTAGGCTCGATGGTGGAAGCAGAACACCGCTGGGAGTCCCGTGACCTGCTGTTACGTCTTTAGCCGCTAAATCCGCTGTTCTAGTTGTATTTGTGTTGTTGCCACGTGTGGGTTTTTTTGTTTCGTTTTTCTAATAGCGTGTATACTAGCCAGACTGTCTGTGAAAATTGTTGTATCTTTGCAGCTGTGTGTCTCTAACCATTTAATGGCTTCTTTGATGGCTAAAACCTCTGCTTGAAACACTGTGTTTTCTTGCATGTTGGTTGTTGTGGTAAACACAGAATGCGGCTCCTACGCCATTGTCTGTTTTGGAGCCATCGGTGTAGATTTGTACCGTCGTTGTTTGGCTAGTTCTAGTACTTGTTGGTAGGTTAGTGTATTTATGGCTAGTCTTACGGGCCGGATGGACCATTTGTGTTTTTATCTTTTGCTGATATTCACCCACTTTTAAGTTGTATTGTGTGTTTTCTTAATTGAATCTTAGTGTGTTAGCTGGTAGTGCTTCTTTTTGGATTTGCAGGTGCAATGGCGGTAAACCTACCAGAACATTCAGACCTGGTGTGGGTGCTGTTTTGAATGATCTTGTTATTCTGACTAGTAGGGGCAGCTGCACCTTGCGCAGCTCTTTGATCGTGGTTTTATTTAGTTCTGTACCCCATGCTGTATTGTAACGTAAAGGCCTTTTCTGCCACAGTCTTGTACCAATGCTTAAGCATTTTAGTATTAATGTCCCAGGTCCTTGGGGCTAGTTTTATGAGATTGTTGTGTAGTGTTGTGGCTCTTGTTCTTAGTGATTTAATGTGTTCTAGGTAGTTTAGATGATGATCCAATACTATACCTAGGTATTTGATGTGATTTACTGATTTTATTGTGTGACCGTCTATTTTGATTATTGGTTGTCTCTGCTTGAAAGGATTATTAAAAGTGATGTAGTTACACTTGTCAATTGACAGTTTTAGGCTTTGTGCATTACAAAAGTTGTTGAATTGTGTCATTGCCTCATTAGCATTTGATTCTAGGTCTTTCCTTGTTTTGCCTGAGACAATGAAGCTGTAGTCATCTACAAAGGCTTGTGTTTTAACATGGTCGTGTTTGAACTGTTGTAAAAAGATATCCGCAATGATAAGCCATAGTAGGGGTCCTAGGCAGGAGCCCTGTGGACAACCCTTGTAGATATCGATTTTAGTTATATCAGTACCACCATTGAACTCAACTGATCTAAGTGAGAGGTAACTGTTGATTATGTTTGTGAGCTGAGTTGGACAGTTTATAGTATTTAATCTGTGTATTACGTGTGTCCACTGTATGAAGTCAAAGGCGCCCTCGATGTCGACCGATATTAGGGATTTATAGTATTGCCGTTTACAATTCTTATTCTTTTTGGCGGTTTTGGCCTCGTTAATTACAGTTTTTAGAGCAGACTCAGTCGATCTGCCTTCTCTGAAGCCGAATTGGTAGTCGCTGAGTTTGTTGTTTTTTTCCAGGTGATGGATCAGTCTCTGATAAATAATTTTTTCCAAGAGTTTCCCTATTGTTGGTAGAAGACATATGGGCCTGTAGGCATCTGGTTGTGTTAGATCTTTGTTTGGTTTTGCGAAATAAACTACTGCTGCTGATTTGATGTTGTTTGGAAAATGATTAAACTCCTGACATTTATTGACCCAGTTAGTTAAGATTGTTGGGTCGGCATCAGAGATCTTTCTCCATATCATGAAGTCCAGCTCGTCCGGACCTGGTGCTTTTGTTGTTTTGAATGCAAATAAAGCATCCTTTAACTCGTTTTGTTCGACCCTGGGATCTGGGTTGGTGTTGTTTTGTGTTCGAGGAGGCTGATCAATAAAGAAACATGACATCAGAAATAGCAAATAAATCAATAATTGTTTGAAATAGCCTGATTCTTTAATGCTGCAGTGGGGCAATGAAGTCCAAAAACAAATATGGTTTTGTTCATTTATAAAAGGATTAAATGTTTTCTGACAATGTTTCCTCCAATGGGATACTAATAGGATAATAAGTAAGATGATAATCAGAAATAGCCTTATTTTAACCCGAAACTGACAAAAAAATACTTGTTTGAAAACTATGAGTGATTTTCTGTGTTTTGTATAATTTAAGATAGCATTTAAATCTTTAACAGAAATAATTATTTTACTCATATTTATTTTGAAACAATGGTCTTATTTGTGACATTTCAGACAGGAAATATGAAAGAAATGATGTCGGATTTTGAAGTAATGGCGTTATTGGTTGCGTGTTTGTGTCATGATTTAGATCATAGAGGAACTAATAACTCTTTTCAAACTAAGTAAGTTAGAAATTTAATTAAAATAATAATAGTTCTTGCTTCTTATTCTATAAACAGTTATCAGCAAACATTTGAGGACTTGAAGGTTCGGAAAACAGATGTATTTCTTAAGCAAGGTCAACTCTAATCATTATTTGTGTTTAATGCGTGACAAAATTCCTAATCTAGTGATTTGAGTTATTTTATTATATACATCTCCAGGGTGTATAACCACAATTAATGTTCATGAATTGCGTGTTCGAAATAAATTTTTGTATTATGTAACATCAATAAAATAAAACTACTTACAATGACATTTCTTAAAATGCAGCATTAATGAGTTTTTTTCCTTATTGATTGCAAATTCCTTATTGATATTATGTAAGGACCATAGTTATGGATTTTATTTGAATTTATATAATTATATTTCAAAAATAATTAATAAAAAACTCACCAATTTGCAGTTACTTGATCGTAACGTAACAAATGTTACAATAATAGCTGATGCTTAGATATTTATTTTTTATATATTTATTTATTTTTAAAAGAAAATAATTTGGGTTATTGTTTATTAGGGTTTTTTCCTTATTGATTTTAAATTCTTTTCATGATATTATATAATGACCATAATTATAGATTTTATTTGAATTTCTATTATTATATTTAAAAATTAATTAATAAAAAACTCACCAATTTATAGTTACTTGATCGTAACGTAACAAATGTTACAATAATAGCTGATGCTTAGATATTTATTTTTTTAATTTATTTTTGAAAAAAAAAGATTTGCCTTAGAACATCTGATTTTATCATTTCATGTTGAAGATTTACTCTTTTCAACAACAAATTAATAAATGAATTAGTAAGTGAATGCTTTTCTACGATACTATTTCAATAATAAAAGATCAGTTAAGAAATACTATGTAATATAAAGATTATAATTATGGAGTTCATTTGAATTTCTATAATTATATTTCAGAAATAATTAATTTTAAGAAAACTTATCAATTTGTAGTTACTTGATGATATCGTAACAAATGTTAAAGTAATACCTGATGATCGGACATTCGTTTTTTTATTTTTTTGAAAAAAAAAAGATCTGGCTTAGAATGTTCAATTTTATCATTTTGTATTGCCAATTTACTCTTTTCAATAACAAATTAATAAATAATTTGTTATTGAAAAGAGTAAATACTATACTATTTCAAAAGTAAAAGATCAGTTAAGAAATATTTTTATCATAACCATTTGTCTTCATCTTTTATAACTAACATTTTAAAATATTCGAAACATTTCTGTTTTCTAAAGTTTGGTGTTATAAATAATGCTGATAATTATTTTTTTTGTAATCTTATTTTAGAACAGAATCTCCTTTAGCAATTTTATATGGAACCTCTACAATGGAACATCATCATTTTGATCAGAGTGTTATGATTTTAAATAGCGAGGTAAGTTACTAACAAAGTTTTGTTTTTATACTTTTAATTTTTTTCTATAAATCCTTTAAATAAAAAAAATCTCCTAAAGATTCATAATTTTTGCAGAAAAAATACCTGAACATGCAATTAAATTTCATACAAAAATCTGTTTTTAAAATTGCCAATTACAATTTTAAAAATTTATTTAATTTTTTTAGGGAAATAATATATTTCAATCTCTATCACCAGAAGAATACAGAAATATCATATCCATTGTTGAGTCTGCAATCTTATCGACTGATTTAGCTTTATATTTTAAGTAAGTGTACTTTTTTTTAAATCCACTTTAAAATTCCTTTTTCATTTAGTTTTATATTGAAAATATTTAAAATAACAAACTTTTTTATCTAACTTAATTAGAATTTAATTTGTCACAGTGTATAAGCCATTAAACATTATTTTCTAGAAAAATAAGCATTTTAATAATAACTTTAATTAAATTTTTATTAAACATTTTAATTCAAGCAATTGTTGTATTCTCCCAATATAGCTTTGTGTATTTCAGGAAAAAGGATTCTTTTCTAGATCTGGTAAAATCTGGAGATACTGATTGGAAAAATTCCCGGAATAGAGATCTTTTAAGGTAGTTTTTCTCAAAGCATTTATCATGTTTACAATAACAATGCTAAACATACAAGATAAGATTCTTTTGCATCTTAATTCCAATTTGTAAATATTTAGTGCCTTGAATATTTGAAGTAGAATAAAACGAATGGATCTTTAGTATTTTTTATCTTTCATGCATGAAATCATACAATAAACTGCAAACGCAACAGTTTTTCAATACAGAAAGATATAGATAATGCTTGGAAAATGTTTTATTAGTTTGAGAGTTTGTCGCTAACTAGTATCGACTGAGGTGTTTGGGAAGAAGGGTATGCCATAACAAAACATGTAGACTAGTGACGTATTGTTTTCTGCGTATATTTTAGTTTGAATTTATTTAAATATTACAAAAAAAGATTAAATAGATCAAAAGATAGATATAATAATTTTAAATGTATAAGATTTTTGTTCGTAGAAAAGTAATAAATTCAAAATTATGTATTTTATTTTGTGCACATAAAATTCCATTAAATTTTTAACTATTAGCTCTGTCGGGTTTGATTTATCATTTTTCAATTTCAATGTACAAGAAGCAATACAAGTGTGCAGAATTTTCACCCTTCTTTTGGTGCCCATCAATAAATTAAAGATGGCGGTTAATCCTTCCTTAGATGCAGAACTTTTATCAAACATATTTTTCATACTAATTATTTTGATTTAAATATGGTCAAAATAAGTGAAAAACATTATATTTAGCATTTTACTAATCGATGGTTATGAAATATAGCATGAAACACCGGTGTATTTTCAGTGTTAAACGTAAAATCTTCCAAACAAAAATTTTTCAAATTTGTACTTATTAAACTCTAAGCAAAACAGTTATTCATCATTGAATTTCCTTTAATTTACAAAATCAATAAATTTTTGAATACGAAGAGAAAAAAAAATCAAACAACTTTTTTGCATTTTACATTGTAGTACAAATACAATGCCGATATTCTGACAGATTTCTTTAATATCTACTAGACGGTTTTTTTATAATTAAAGAAATATCAAAATATATTTTGCTTGTAATTAGAGGGCCAGAAAGATATATATGAATAAGGAATACAGAAAATTTCCCTTTGCGTCAAAGGGTTAAAGGACAAGTTCCATAAATCAATATTGAGCCGAAACCACAACTTTTAAGTCAATATACAGCTTTTGTTTATAAAAATTATTTTCGAATTGGAATGTGAAGGAATAATAGGATTAGGAACTTTGTAATAGGATTAAGCGTGAAACATTTAATTCGTGTGTGACTCTTGCCCTCTCCTTTCTAAACTGTTTTCTTATTTCACATATAGAGGTATGCTGATGACAGCATGTGATGTATCTGCAATTTGCAAGCCTTGGGAAGTACAGAAAAAAGTAGCCGAACTTGTTGCAGGAGAGTTTTTTGAACAAGGTGATTTAGAGAAAGAAAGGCTTAAAGAACAGCCTATAGTAAGATTTACGATTGTCTTAATACCTGTTTCAATAAAAATTAATTCATTGTAACTGATTACGCATTTATATACCCTTAAATCTTCAAATAATCTTGAACCGTAAATCAATAGGATTTTTCATCAGCGTTGAAATGGGATTTGCCATGTGTTATTTTCCCATAGTTTTTGCCGTCATTAAAGAATTTTTTCTCATAGTTATTTGAAAAAGAGAAATGTTTTTCACTAGTTCTTACCATCTCCAAACAAAACCCTGATATTTCTGTGAACATCTTAAAAAAACCGTACATTTAAGGTAGTATTGTAACAAGAATATAGAACATTGTTAAAGTATACTTGTGAAGATTGAAGTAACATATGATCAGTTTACGAATTACTGTTCTAAAATTTTTGTAGATCTCGTACCTGCCCTGATATTCTTAATAAATTTTACTTTGCCCTGATTCGACCTTTTTTTTTATTATTTTTTCTGCCTTAGAGCTAGTTGGTTAATTTTTTTTGTTTGAGTACTCCATATTACGAGAAGTTAGTTTATATTACTGCGTTAAAAGTATTTGATAAACTAATGAATTCTGATTCCTTGTTATTTTCCAAAATTATAGTTTCGAAGCATAAATCCTTGTACATGCATCAAAACAGTTTCCTTTTTTTCTTACATCTTTATTCTTGCATTTACCGTTATGAATAAAAATTGCAACTGAATTTCTTGTGTATTACCACAAATACATATGGTAGGAAATTTCAGGAAAGAAATGAATTTTCGTTTAGTTACAAAGATTTTTTTTATTATTTTTATTTTAAGGCATTTTTCGAAATTTTTAGGTCAGCAAAAACTGGACTCCAGTATTAAATAACGAATCATAATACCTGGCAATAAATAAGCATGGTTTAATAGTATTTTAAAATTTATCCTATTTTTCTTAAGGTTTTTCCCATATCCTGGTAAAAACCTAACGCTGTTTTTCTTTGCATAATTTATTGCATAGAGAAAGGGATTTGTTTTTCCAACTTTTGACTCATAAAGAGCTTATCTAATTCTATCTAATTCTATTGTTCTAAGTTTTGTTTGTTCTAAGGCTTATCTAATTCTATGCAAGTAATTACTGTATCGAATGGAATCTATAAATAGAATTGATTTTTCAGAAAAAGAAATAGAATCTTTGAATTTATTAATGAGTATTTCAGAAATTTTTTTTAAAAAGAAAAATTTAGTATATAAAATATGCTAAATAATTTTAATTTATAAAACTTTATCATATTAATTTTGAAAATAATTTATTGGCAGTTCCATTTCTTACTTTTTTAAAAAAAGGAAAAGAAAAAAATATCAAGCAAATTTATTAAAAAAAATATCAAGCAAATTTGAATATCTTGTTTTATTCTCCTAAAGGCTATGATGGATAGAGACAGAAAAGATGAATTGCCTGCCATGCAAGTGGATTTCATAGATTGCATTTGCTTACCTGTTTATGAAGTAAGCTCAATATTTTTTTTATTTTTTTAAAAACTATACTATATATTATAAAAAGAGCAGCCTAAATGTTATGTGAGCACATTTAAGATACACTATAAATGAAGTCAATAAAAAATTACCCAATGTAAAATCACATAGCTTCTTCTGTGGTGTTACATGATTAAAAACTTCATTCGCTTCAAAAATATTTAATGAGGAAAAACCTTCGGCATACTTCAAGTCCTCAAAAATAGATACTGGTTTTCAAGACTTGCCAAACGTGATTGAGAAGATATGAAAGTGAGTTGTACTCTATAGCGTAAAGTCGCCAACAAAAGCTAGAAAAATAAAGCTGAGACGCAAAGCTAGAAAAACCGCAGTAGCCGAGAGAAAAGAACAGAACAAGAAAATGTAAAGTGGCTAAGGGGAGCAAAAATAAAGATAAAATGGGAGACGTAGTAAGGAACTAATGTCGTTAAAAAGGGCTTTCGTATGAATAAAAGCGAGATCAAGATAAATTGATATGACTGGAGTGGAAACAATAGTCAAAATTGAATTTATCCCCCAAATTCCAACAAAATGAATGAATAGTTGATGATCAATAGTTGATGGTGAATCAAAGTGAATTAATAGTTGATGATAATTAATAACGGACGCGTCTATCGTATTCATCTTATGTAGTAGTGGTTAACCGTAAAGTGGAAAAATTGGTCAAAAAACTGTTTTTGCTTTTCTTTCTTTTTTTGTCATATTTCTATAATCAAATTTCTAAATGCTCGAATAAAACTGCAATGATTCCATTAATAAGACCAACTTTATGTTAATATAAATTTTATAAAATAAATTTTTGTATTCTTGCGAATTGATTTAATTATAAATTGATAAATTTAAATTTATTTTGTTTTGTAATCATATTTCTATAGTTTAGAAATAACTTCAACATTTTCCTACACTGTTTCATCTTGGTTTATAGAGTATTTAAATTGATGTACAGTCCGCAAAAAAAAAAACGAATCACCCTGAATAACTTTCGTTCTAATGATCGGATTATCACGAACTAAGTGTCAATCTTAATGGTTCCTGGGGGTGACCTCAAATATGTTAATTAATTAGTGCTAACTATTAATTAAGTTACGAAATCAGACACAAAAACGTACTTTCTCTGAATAAACATATAATTTTTTTTACATATTTGGAATCTAGACACTTGAATTAGGGGGGGTAGACAAAATTTTAAAA